AAGGCGAGTCTCGTTCTCTCTGCTGTTCTGCTCTTTCCATCCCTGGATCTCTGTAATTACATGATCTGTCTGTGTTCACAGGATGGTACGAGGATTCAGTGTTTCACGTCAACGCTTTTGGGTTCCCGCCCACAGAACCCTCTTCTTTCACCAGGTGTGCGTTAGCTTCTGTTGACTGTAGTATGGACTGTGTCGCTGGCATAGTTCTGCATCCACATGGAGTTTTCTTGTCTGTGTCCAGGGCTTATTATGGCAATATAAACTTCTTTGGCGGGCCGTCCAGCACTACGGTCAAAGCATCGGCCAAACTGAAGCAGCTGGAGGAGGAGAACGAGGACGCCATGTTTGTGATCGTGTCAGACGTGTGGCTGGACCGTGTGGAGGTTCTGGAGAAGATCCAAACCATGTTCTCAGGTCCAGTGAATCTCTTGCGTGTTTTAGTTTGTGCTCCCAAATTTGCTGATACAGATCATATGGTGAACATCATCTTTTAATATAGTCCTCATGTGCTGCAAAATAGTTCTGGTACCGTCAAACAAAATATGACATTTACGAGATGTGTGCAGATACAGTCAGTGTCTGCTCATCATAAGTGTTTATCTGAAAATCCTGTTTGCTCAGCTGATTGCCTACAGCTCTCAGATTGTGCTCAGATACGATTCTAACACAGAGAACAAGCTCTGGACTTAAACATGAGCATAAACACACTTCCAGATGAAGCACAGTCACCCACGTCTGGTGGTCTACATTTACAAGTCACTGTATTTAAGACCGAACAGAACATGTAACACAGAACTTTAAAAGGACTTGAAAGAGCAACAGCTAATAACATGATCAGTCCATAATTCAGAATGATGAACAGCATTGATTATGATTCTCGTTGTAATTAGTGGTAAAACATAACATTTTCTTGTTTTTCCAGCAAAATCTTTGAATTTAATTCTGTGTGTGTGAGTTAGGGCTGTGCGATTTGGGGGAAAATATCAAATTGCGATTTTTTTTGACAGATATTGCGATTGCGATTTGATTTGCGATTTTAAATTTGCAAAGTCAAGCTTCAGCTCAATATTGTCAATAATGTGCAGCACAGTATGGGTATCATTACCCTGCTGAAAAAAAAACAATAGAAACCATCACAGAAATTCTTATAGTTTCCATTAAACCATTACAAAATTCCTTTTTGTTTTGGGCATTATTCCAATAGGAATTACTGTTGTTCTATTGGTTGCCATCTGCCAGATTACATCCCACCAATAGAATCCATCAAATAGACACCATTATAGTTTACATTAAAACCAAACAAATTCCCATTATAACCCTGAAATCCATTACATTTTTTATTGTGTTTTGGGAGGGGTTCTATTGTTTTTTTTTTCAGCAGGCTATTTTATAATGGTATAACTACTTTTACAGAATTACCTTAATTTCACAGAAAATATTTGTTTATTTTTTATAAATAAAGAACTGTATTTCTTAAGTCAATTATTAAAGTATTACATATGTTACATAGGCTGATTTATTCATTTTAAGTATTTGGGATTTTAAGAGCAAGTGGAAAATGTGCTGAATGTTTCATTTCATCCAAGTGAAATTAGCAAGCAGTTAGACTGAATTTACATACGTTTTAAACGCGGAGCCAGGCGCGAGTCGACACAGGTTGCGCGCGTGCGTCAAGCCTCATCCATACTGCCAGATGCGCTCGTGAAGACTTGCGGTGCGGAGCCGGGTGAGAGTATAAACGAGCATTACGAGACAGGCTGCGTGAGTGCGGCAAGCATGAACGGCTCGTCCGTGACGTGGGATTCGCGTCGCGTGGGACAGAGAGGAGCGAGTATGAGAAGCATTCACAAACAGTGTGTGCGCTCTTCTGAATTGAGAATAGCCAACATGCATTATAAACTTATTTCAAATTAATCTGTTGGGGAGATAAAATGTGTAAGATAACGTTCACGTACTAACAAAAACATCTAAGAATGTATCTTTTATTCTCCAGTACTGAAAACAGAACCGAGAAGGGAGCTTTTGATATGCGCTGTGACACAGCTCTTGCAAATTACCTTTTTTGTTCGTTGTCTGTCATTTCGAAGCTTAAGTTGCATACGGTTTTCTTTAGTTTTAATTTGCCTAACTATCGATCTGACCCAGTAGACGCCATAATCCCACTCTGTCTCTCTCCCGCTTTCCGGTTATTTTTTTATTTTTATTTTTTTAATGGTGGGTGTTTACGCAGTTGGCTAGAGCAGTGCTGATTGGGGAGAACGGAGGTGCGCTCACTCTATTGGTTAGTAAGACTGCAACTCAAGGCTGGCAGTCATGCATATGCTCTGGAACAGAGTAAAGGCGGCCGTACATGGTGCGATTTTTGCAGTCGTACGAGCTCGCAGGCGACAATGTCTCAAATCGCGATTTCGATTAATCGCACAGCCCTAGTGTGACCTAATGTTCCTTTTGGTTGGCTGCTTTCTGTCTGGCTCTATCAAAAACAGCACTGTGTTTCCTAGCTGAGAAGAGCAAAGTCCACTGTCTCTCTCCTGTGCGCTCGACACCCTTAAAAAAATCTGTTTTGGAGACCCATTATAAAACAGAGAGGAGGAGGAGGAAAAACAGAAAAGTGTGTATTTGCCATTACTGCCTTTGCTCAAACTTCTTAGCATGTAAAAACCGAGCGAGAGTGCACTGGAGGATAGAACAGAGGTACTACAGGCACATCAAAATCTATTTGTTTTGCAGTGGTCCATCTGCTTGTCTTTCAGTCGGTTTGTCTCAGGGGTGATTCGGTAACCTCAATTTTGTATCTCTCTTCCCCTCAGAGACAGTTACTTTGGTCAGGAGTTCTCGCAAACAAAAAGTGACAAAATTCTCTATTCGGATGAGATTAGTTTTATATTGGGGAGGTCGGGTAATGCTATGATTCCAAAGCGTCTCTGTCATTTTAACCCCTTATTAACTGCCCATGCCATTAACTTTTCTGGACATTATATGACCATTAAGATTCTTCTATAAAATGAAGAAATAAGAGGCAAAGGCAATAAGTAAATTCACATGCTGGTTAAATCTATTTTGTTACTGTGAATTCATCCATGCACGTGTTTAATCTTAAAATTGCTTTGACCTTGTAATTTCATTGAAACATAACTCGATCTTCTGAAGAAAATTACTTCTCTCTGGTGGCGGATACTAGACTTCACCAATCATTTAAACCCCGCCCCTTTCTTACAATTGCCTGCAAGCTCACATTCAGATCTGCCTCCATCCAATCAACAACTGACGGGTAGAACAAAGAAAAAATCTGTTGCCAATTCCATTTCTTCATGACTTTAAAAGCATTTAAAAGCATAAAAGAATCTAATCTGTTCAAGAATCTCAAGTGAATATTGACCAAAGAGCGAGGACAAAATAAAGGGACATTTCAAAACTTATTAGAGGGAACGACTGGTGCTGGATTTATGGGGTTTTCTAAATTTACTACATTCACCTCAAGTGTTTTCGTGTATTCCCTCTATCGCTCTTTCCTTCTGCGTCTGACTCACCTTCTCTGTCCACTAGAGTGGGGCTGTGGGTGGTGACTCGTGGCCTGCGGTCAGACTCGTTCTGGTCCAGTCTCTGTTTGTCCTCCTGCACGGACTCATGTACAGCTTTGATTTGGTGCTGGAACATAGCAAAACTGCTCAAAAGTCCTCCTGGAACGCTGCTGTGACCGAATGGAGCTGAAACCTAAACAAACCATTCAGCAACAGAGAGGATTCAAATGGGGGCTACATGCTGGACTGATGTTCAGCAAAAATGCTCCATTAGAAAAATTTAAATGATTAAAAGGTGCATGACTTAATTCCATGAACAATAGCTACGGTTTACTTTGCAACAAGATGCTACATTCTCATGATGTAAACCTTGTGAACGGCCAATCAGGGCCTCGGTTAGAACCATTTCACAGCCACACCAAATCGCCACAACAGACACCTCCAAACAGCACAACTAATCAGCCTAGCAAAGCAGCCAAACGTATTTTCACTCGTCATGATTTCAGTGTGTGGACAATCAATTGGTATTTGCTGATTCGTTTGCTGATTGCCGCAGAAGTGCGTGATCTGCGGAGGTGGAGATGGAGGCAGGACTCACGTGGCGGGGTGGCTGGGCCCTGTCTCTGTCCAGAGGGGCATATCTGAATGCTAAGTGGGGGTAGAGGCTATGGGGACTGACCATAGGGGGGATGGTGGCGGCCCGCTGCTGCATGTTGAGGAGTTTGGCTGAGGACATGACCACCGAGCATGCAGTGCCAAGCAATGACGGCTTCTCCAGAGAGAAAAGTCTGCCACAGGAAGGAAGGAACAAGAGAATAAAATGTATTAGCTACTGATACTCTACTGCTAGTTACATCTAAAGGGCTCCTCACACATACACAACAACAAAGAGACCAGAAGTAATTTTTCATTCATTCACAGTCTATTCACCTGCTTTTGTATAATACTAGCTCAAGCACATTCCCATTCTGGACAACTAAACATTTACTTAGGTAAGTAAACAAAATAAATAAATAAACTGTATTTAATAAAAGTTGAAGCAATATAAATAATTAATTACACATCAGAGTTAAACAGTAAGGTTTTTTTCTGTAGTTTAGATTTCTAATTGGCAGCTGAACATTTTTACTGGGGCTGCATGATAAATCGCATGCAATATTTAATGAACCGGCTTTACTGACAAGATGTGCATTAAATATTGCATGCAATTTATCGTGCAGCCCTAGTAAAATGTTCAGCTGCCAATTAGAATTCTAAACTACAGAAAAAAAACCTTACTGTTTAGCTCTGCTGTATAATGAATTATTTATATTGCTTCAACTTTTATTAAATACAGTTTATTTATTTATTTATTTACTTACCTAAATAAATGTTTAGTTGTCCAGCATGGGAATGTGCTTGAGCTAATATTGTACAAAAGTATTGTGAAATTATGCAGCCCTAATTTTTTTTACTGTTTTCAACACACACAAAAAAGATTCATGTTTTAATAAATTTACATAAACATTACATAAATGTACTTGCACTGGATTTAAGTTCATGCATTCCCTGGGAATCAAACCCATGATCTCACAGGCTACAAGAATCTAAATTTATTATTTTATATTTGCATTTCTAATTTAAATACATATTATTATATGTATTATTTATTTTAATATTACTGAAAATACTATTATGTGATTTTCACACATATAAATTATATTTCAATTAATAAATCACCACCCTATCCATGCTACTAGAAACCAATAGCACTGTATGTATGAACCCCATAATAGAACATGAGCAGCGGTTTCTTACCTTTGTCGGTCAGGTTCGGCTTCCACATCCTCATCTGCACTGCAGGTGGCGCTAGAGTCATTATCTGAGTTGTGCTGCTCCCCCTGTTTCTCCTCCTTGTCCTTGATATCTGGCTCTGTCTTGACTTGAACCTGTGCTCTTTCGCTGCTTGGAGCAGTCATCTCCAAATCCTGCGGCTCAGTCTTTGGATGGATCTGCATTTCATACACCAAGCGTGTGCGCTCATCCTGAGGAAGCCCGTCTCCAGCTTCTCCTTCTGGACTCTTCTCTACTTTCACCCGCAGCTCGCAGTACGGAGGCTCCTGGCCCTTGGCATCTGCCACTGGGCCTTTGGTTACCGTGAGATCCTGGTCCGACACGCCCTCTAGAGTTGAGTAGGGTTGAGTTACAGAGTCGGATTTGGAGGGATCAGTTTGAGATGGAGAAGGCGCACTCTCTGTGTCCGAACTGTTATCGGGACCTGAGGAATGGAGACGAAAGAGCGTATGATTGAGCCATCACATCCTCTTTAAATTCTTCATTCATCTGTGCAAAGAGGACACAGAATATCAAGCCCAACCTATTTCAATCTCTGCTACAGAAACACAAAAGCAGAGAAGCAGAAAACCCAGATAACCCTGCCGTGACAGAGCAGAGGTGGCGTTTGAGGTCACCATCGCTGCACGCGGCATCACGCAATCAAGTTAATGCACTTCTGGACAGCAAACATCCTTTGGCTAATCACTACCTTTCCAGTCTTGCCATGTGATGATGACACCCTCCGTAGCGACAGGAAGTGCTACATATAAAATATTATTTCTCTGATTAATCCGTAGGCTTTGATCGATTATTCAGCTTTTACAATTAGCTAAAATATTGAGTTAAACAGTCTAACTAATAAATAAGTTAATCACTTCAAGTTTTGTAAATGTTAGACAAATAGATTACTATTGTACAATTACAATTATAATTATTATACAACTATTTGTACAATACAATAAATATATTTGGCACAAAAAATTAGATGAGAGACATTCCCATTCACCATTTAATTAACTGTATGAAAAAGTAACTGATGAACTGATGCATCATTCTGCCTAACATCTCCTTTTGTAAGTCATATGAACAACAAAGGTCAGTGATAAGACATTTGTATATACCTTATAGAGTTATAATCAAAACAGTCCTGAGCTAGATCAAGCTTTAATCTATGCAAATTACTTTAATGTAATGATTTTTTTGTATTCACTAATAAAAAGATTTAACATTAGCTACTGTAGCTCCACATTGGAGTTGCTTTGTAACAGAAAATCATGTATAATTCTAACTGACAGTGACACTGACCCTGTTTTTTTATGTTTAACACTGTAAAGCTGCTTGCTTTATTTATATATAAGCACTATATAAATAAACGTGACGTGACTGGAGTGCTGATAGCAGAGCAAACATACCCACATCGCTATGATCAGATGCTTTCTTAACTGCTGTTTTCTCACCACTGTCATTTTTGTTGTGTTTATTTCGTTATTGAGAGGAAAGCGCGCAGCACATATTTACATATTTCTTTAAACACCGCTCTCAGCAGCATCTGGTTCGGCTGTGTTTGCATTCCGATATGTTCCCATAAGTGCAGTGTTTGTCATCTTCTTTTGAATTGCAACCGAGAGGGTTCAATTACTTGTGCTACAGCTCCACACTGGCCAAACAGCGTTATTCCAGGCCCTTACATGATGAAACGACTATTCGACAAAAAAAAAAAAAAAATTTTTTTTATTGTCGTCGTTGTCTATAATGTATAATAATCGTTACAGCCTTAATATCCACATCACAAGAACAGACTTGCAGAGAGCGACACATCCGACAACTAGAAAGCGCCTATCCTTCTCTCGTCCCTCCATCTCTCTGAAAATTACTCCTCTCCCTCATCTATAATTCCTCCCTCCTCTTGCTGTGTGGATACTCTCTGCCACTCTCACAATCTGTTTCTCTGTCCTTCTCTCGGAGAGTGATGAAGGTTAACCTGCTTTGCTCCAGGAGTATGTCAGCAGGCACTACTCCAAAAAGCAGACAAGGGAGAGAAAGAAGTTTGAGTAGCATCTAGCTCATGACAAGTAAACAAGGAAAGCAGGCCAGGGAAGCAGCCTTGCAGGTTTCTGTTTTTTCAAAGAGAATCTGAATAAGGTCTATAATGCACCAGGGCAGAGAATTACGGAATTTAAGAACAAAAGAGAGTAAAGTACAAAAATGTAAGTATAGTGTTTAAAAATGAATGAATACTTTTAAAAATGAATACTTATTCAGCAAGGATGCATTAAACAAGTTTTACAAAAGATTTGCATTGCAAATAAATGCTGTTCTTTTGAACTTTCTATTCATAAAAAGTTTCCACAAAAATACTAAGTTGCAAAATGGTCTTCAACATTTATAATAATAATAATAATGTTTCTTGAGCACCAAATCATCATATTAGAATGTTTTCTGAAGGATCATGTGACACTGAAGACTGGAGTAATGACTGCTGAAAATGCAGCTTTGCCATCTCAGAAAGCAAATGGTCCAACTTTTGATCAGTAGTGTAGATGGTGTGGAAGAAGGCAAAGCGAACATACAGGCACCCAAAGGGAAAGAAAGTAGGTTAAGAGACGTCTAATAATTATTGTACTTTAACAGAGGCATGTTTAGAGTTTTGGGGGCCCTCAGCAAGTGGTCCCGAGGGAAATCCCGTTCCGGGGAGGGGGGGGGGGATTATTCTCCATTCAGTGGAAATTGCGTTCCTTGGGTTCCTCCCCCCTCGGTAGAAATCCCGTTTGGTTACCCTCGGAGGAAATCATGTTCCGGTTGGGGTAATAGCAATCCCCCTCGGTAGAAAAACGCGTTCCGCAGGGCCCGACGCAATTGTGTGGGCTGCGTGGTGCCGAAACACTGTACTGGTTCCAAGAGTGCTGATATGAAGAGTTGCACTGTGTTCATGTATCAGACAGGTATCGCTGGGCCTGAATTGGCTGAATTTTCATAGGAAAATAACTACTTTTATTGTGTTTAAAATGCAAGTTGAATTTTTGTTTACAGAATTTTATAAAGACTTGAAGTCATGTTGTAGCACTAAATATCACAACAACCATGCCTGAATAAAAGCACAACAGATCAAACATACTCGGCAGAAGCACTCAGTTTCCTTACAGCATACTTTTTTGAGGCTTTAAAGCCAGGGAACGCTTATATAAGAGCGAGTGTGGCAGACAGAATTAGTCCAGATATCTTATCCCTTCTGCACATTCCCCTTTTTCCACTCTCTTTTCTTTGTGTTTCTGTCTTATTCACTTGTTTCCTCTCCCTTTCATCCACCTCTCCCCCACCCAGCTGGTTCTCTCCTCATTTGCTCCTGATTCTTACTCATTAAGCATACAGACAGAAGTAGAGGGAGGATGTTGACCTCTGTGCCAGTGCAGCGCGGTCTGGGGTTTTGCTGTCAGATCTAATCAAACGCACTGCAGTCAGACAGGTCAGCACACTGCTCTACTGCTCCCTCACTTTATCCCTCTTTCTGTGTCAGTCTGTCTGCTTCTGCTCTCTTTACATTATGGCCCCACTACTTCTCTTCCTCTATGCTTGATCGGACTCTGGGTTCATGGGTCACAGAGAAAGAGACTGACAGTGATGGGTTTTAGGGTGTTTGTTTAGGCATTAGTGCTTATGTTGGAGGCAGCTGGCTGTAAAAGACTTTAAAGGGTTAGTTCACCCAAAAATGAAAATTAGCCCACAAATTACTCACCCTCAAGTCATCCTAGGTGTGTATGACTTTCTTCTTTCAGACGAATCCAGTCGGAGTTATATAAAAAATTGTCTTTGATCTTTCAAGCTGTTTAATGCCACTCAGCGGGTGTTGCATGCATCAGTCCAAAAGAAGTTAAATAAAAAGTGCCCATCCATAAAAAAAGTGTCTCACACGGCTCCGGGGGGTGAACAAAGGCCTTCTGTAGCGAATCGAAGCGTTTTTGTAAGAAAAATACCCATATTCAAAACATAATAATCATTTAATGTAGCTTGCGCCAACAGTTGTAAACGGAAGCAGCTCTGGGCGGATGACGTATGAGGGCAGCTTTGCGCATGTGCCGCTCAGAAGTGACAAGCGCGGAAGCGCAGGGGAGAGATCAAAACAAAACAACAGTCACTTATTAGAAGTACAAAACGAGGATTTGTAAAAAAGAATGTCGGAGGATTTCGATATAAGCCAAGAGGAAACTGGTTTTCCTTTGCTAAAGTAGGGAAACATTGCTTCCTTTGCTCCTGTTAACAAACATTGGTTTTCAC